CATGCATGATTATATAAATGATATTGATGTTCACAGATCACATACTTACCAACATGAGCAGTAATTGTTTAGATTGCTTTTAGTGAATTTATGAGTCTTTATTATGTAGTTGCTAATTTCTGTAAGATGCAAATAATTGATAAAAATGACCTTTCTAATTTGTCACTTTTCTTACATGTATGTCAAATTGCTGGAGATGGTGTAAAGTCAGGGTAACCATAGTAAATCTCTCCTATGCATAGTTATTACCATTGACTGTTGACAAAGAAAGAATAAGCTAATGGACTGTTGTATTTGTATCATAACTACCTTTTTGGTGCTAAAAAGCATTGGGACAGAGTCCTTCATTAAGAAACTTGCTACTTGAAAACTTACTAGTTTTTTTCATATACTTAGGTGCTATTTAATCAATTAGCAATTCTACTCTAGAGTTTAAATCCATATCTTTATAATCATCTCAGCATAAATTGATGGATTACATGTCCTAACAAATAAGATTAAGTCACAAACATCTCTATCCATTGGTAATGCAGCAATAATATGAACGTAAGATAAACCTTAAGATAAACTAAGATCCTGAAGTAACCAAAGGAAGAACATATTGTACTTAATACCATTTCAATGATGAGTATGTTTTTATAATTGTTAACCCACATGTGGTGTAAGCACTAACTTGCTTTACATCTGATAAAATAGAAAATTCTATTCCCTCAAACTGCTGGTAACAAAAACTTGCATTTTTTATAGAGACAACAAAGCGTTAAGTAGCTTCAAAGTTTTCATCAATTACAAATCAGTGGCACCGTAGGAATAAAATCCAATATCCTGACACACTATGCATTTTCCACTTTTATTTTCCTTCTTTTATTCCAATTCTAAAACTTGCACTAACTCCAAATCTATGCTCAGAATGAAGTGAAGAGGTTATAAATTCAATGACAAAATCTGAATAGATTGAACTGCCCAACCAGACACTTCAGCGGAATGGCAGGCCAGACAGGGCGAAATTCTGAGAAGCTTGCTTTTTCAGAAGCTATTAGGGATATAAAGAATGCCATGTATCAATAAGTGGAAAAATTCACAGTCATGCTATATTTTTTCATACTTTATTTCAGAAGAATTAAATTGTAAATAAGATAGCAAATTCTGAAAGATCTGAAGAGATGCACGAAAATTATCAGAGAAATGGGTAAGCTTTCCCTAAACTCTACAAAAAAGAGTTCTGGAACTTCACACATACCTTATCCTTTCATAGATGTAAGAAAAAAAAATGCTATTAGCTTTTTTCTGTACTTCAATGTGATTAGCATTGCACCTGGTTCAGAGTGATTTTAGGAAGGGTAATTACTATAGGAATTATTGAACTAGGACCTCAGATCTCTCCTGTTCGGAATTTCTTGTAGCTTACTACTCCATAGAGAAAAGGAAAGGTGACTGCATTTTTCATTTCAGTTTCTGTGGACCTTTGATTGCATATGATGCATTTATTTACCACTGAATAGATTTCTCTGTGTGTGTGTGTATGTGCATATGCATACTCTACGATTTTCTACACCTGTAATTTATTTGTTTAGAAATCTAAAATGAACACAGTTTAAAATCTATTTTATTTTCACTTCCTCCATAATGGCAGTGTTACATTTGGATGTACAATCTGTAAAACTGGAGGGAAACCCTTAGGCCACCTGGCTCATTCATGCAAGAGATAGCTAGAAAAGGCCATCCCACTCATCATTTTCTTAAGGGTCAGAACATATCTATAAGAAATGTCTTGAGAATTAAGCAAATTTCACTTGGGAACTTTTTTCAGTTTCATTGGGAAATTTTTTTAATTTTTTATTATTTTGTTTTAAATTGACAACTAATAATTGCACGCACTGTAGGTTGCAATATGATGCTTTTATGCATGGGTACATCGTGGCATGACCAAGTCAGGCTAACTAGCATGTCCACCACCTCACACACGTATCATTTCTTTGTGATGAGAACATTTAAAATTTATTCTTTTGGCAATTTTGAAGGACTCAATTCACTGTTATTAATTATAGTCATCTTACAGTGCAAAAGATCACCAGAACTTATGCCTTCTACCTAACTGAAACTGAATTCATTTTGACTAGCATCTTCCTTGTCCCCACTCACCATTCATCTTCCTGGGCCTCTGGGAACCATTTTACTCAGTTAAAAAAATCTTCTATGACTTTGCCTTTTTCAGATTCCTTTTGAAGTGAGATCACTCAACATTTGTCCTTTTGTGCCTGTCCTCCGGATCCATCTATGTTTTTGCAAATGAATTTCTTTCTTTCTAAAGACTGAATAGTATTTCATTGTGTATCTGTACCATATGTTTTTTATTCATTCATCCATTGACTGACACTTAGCTTATCTCCATATCTTGGCTATTGCAATAAACATGGGATGTGCAAAAAATTCTTCAACATGCTGATTTCAATTCCTTTGAATTTGTACCTAGTAGTAGGATCATTGGACCATATGGTAATTCTATTTTTTGTTTTTTTGAGGCACCTCCATACTATTTTTCACAATGGTTTTATTCTTAATTATTATCAAAAAATGAAAGTGTTGAGAACAATTTGAAAGTCAGAAGAGCTGCATTTCATGCCCCATATGCCTTTAATATTTTTTGTCTTTTCTGAACCCAGTCTGTCCTCCAATCCCAACTGGAGATTCTCCTGTCTCAGCCTCCCAAGTGCTGGGATTACAGGTGTGCACTACTTGGCTGCATCTTTAATCTTTCATTGTCATTTTCCATGTTACATTTTTCCCATGTCACACTTTCGAAGTATGACATAAATTCAAAGTTAGTTCTCTATATGTTCTAGAATGATGATGTGAAGGGATGATAAAGAAATTTATTTTAGAATTCATTCTTGCACTTAAGCAATATCTGTGGACTGAACAAATCATATTTCTAGTATATATAACAAAGCAGCATTATAACTCAATAATTAAAAGTTCAAATTCTGGACTCACTTTATTTCAGTCACTAGCTGTGTAAACTTCAGCTGTTTACTCTGTGACTCACTTTCCTCACTTTTAAGATAGTCCTAATAATACTACCGACCACATAAGGCTTGTTCAGATATAGTGGTAGACCGTGAAAGCTATTAGGTCAATGGAAAGACAATAGAAATCTGCCATGACACATAAAGTTAGAATGAGGAGTTGTCAATTTTACTTATTTCCGATAAGAATTGAGAAAACACACCTGATTTCATTTGGATGACCCAACACTGGAGAGGACAAGAGAAAGCAATATGAAAGAAAACAGTCAGAAGGATTGAAGGCAGGGTTTGGATGGCCTTGAAAAGTGCAGTCAGTAGGACTGGGTGTTGGGTCTGGCCTTGAGATATACACAAGACTCCAATTAGGAGGAGCGACTCATTTGAGGTAGAATAGACCGTGCAACTGCTTTGGGCCAAATGGGATGGAACAATGGGATCAGTGAGTTTCCCTCCAGCTTACAAACCAGCACAGAGCACCTAGGCTTGGGAGCTGGCATGGCAGTGGCCTCCCTGGAACTGGGTAGAATCTGTTTCCTCCAGCCTCCAGGCCACACTTGGCAACATGGGGAAAAGTAGGAAAGAGTGAAGAGCAAGGAAACTCCCAAATCCTCATGCCAGCAGTTGTGTTGCTGTTCTCCTTCAAGGCTAGTAGAAGACAGACTTTAAAAAGACAACACAAGGAGAGGGTCTGGGGATGTAGCTCAGTGGTAGGCACTTGTCTAACATGTGTGATGCCCTCAGAAGGAGAAGAAAGAAACTCGAGCCTTCCCCTGAAAGCTTTCCATGAAGGTTAAGGGGAGATAGAAATTATTTCCTCCCAAAGCAAACTTTATCAAGACCGGAAAACTTATGTGGCATAAGCTGCAAAATTTGGGGCGGGGATGGGAAAATGGTTGTTGGGCTTGACAGTTTTAAAGCACTTTTGTCATCTACACCTCATCCCAGAGCATTCTGGCCAGAATATAAGTAAATTATTAACCTGAGGTAGAATAGAATTAAAAGTGACTTCTCATTTGTCAAAGCTGACAGAGATCGTCTAAAAGTGGACAGAAGAGTTGGAATTTGTCATCTTGTGACATCTTTTTAGAAAATTTAAATTGTTCCCCTCAGTATTATTTTAACATTTCAGAACTGTGTGTATGTGTTTAGGTAGTTGTTCTTGCAGTATTCTGGAAAATGAATGTTTAAAATGTGTGTGTATGTGTTTGACAGATACCCATCAAGTCAATGGATAAAATTTACAGCTTTCATTTGGACCTCCTTGAAATCGAGCTAAGATATAAATTTTTCAAATGGAAGGCAAAATTCAAAATATTAAACAAACCTTTGTTTAATGTGCACTTAATATAATAATTTCTTTCATTTGAAGTTCACAGTCAATCTTCAGCATTTTATAACAAAAGGTTAAAAATGTTAAATCACCACTTCATATCCACTAAGATGGCTACTATTACAAAAGAAATAAAGAAAAAAACAAGTGTTGGTGAGGACATAGAAAAATTGGAATTCTTATGCCTGTTGTTCCTCAAAAAAAAAACTGAAGGGGTGAGGGCACAGTTCAAGTGATAGAATACCTGCCTAGCAAGCATAAGACCCTAAGTCCAAACCCCAGTACTGCCAAAAAAAAGAAAGAAAGTAGAATTACCACATTCCATTTCTGGATATAAATCCAAGAAATTGAAAGCACAGAGTCAAAGAGACTTTTGTACACGCATAGTAATAGCAGCATTTATTGGAAATGGCTAAAACACAGAACCCATCCTGGTTCCATCCACTGATGAATGGATTATCATCATTGTGGCAGAGACATGCAATGGAATGGTATTCATTTAATGAAAGGAAATTCTGACATGCTCTAATATGGGTGACAAATGAGGATGTTATGCTAAGTGAATGATTCAAGAGCAAGCCAGTCACAAAAGGAAAAATAGTGCAGGATTGCACTTAGGTGAGGTACCTTGAGTAGGCATACTCATGGAGACAGAAAGTAGAGCAGTAGTTGTCAGGGGCCAGGGCAGGTGCTACGGGGAGCTCTTTAATGGGTATAAGGTCTCAGCTTTGCATGAGGAACAGAGTTCTATAGATGAATGTGGTGATGGTAGCACAAAGGTGTGAATGTATTTAGTGTCCTAATTGTACACACCTAAAAAACAATTAAGAAGGTATATTTTATCCCAACTTTTATAAATTTTGCTCCTGATGCATGCCTTCATTTTTTACATTTTACATTTTGCCAGTGGCAACCTCCTTTCCCGGTGATTTTTCTAAAATCTTTGTACTATCTATCATTAAATTTGTTTTTGAAATTTCAGAGTTTATATAAATTTCCTGCCAATAGTAATAGTTGACACTTCAGCAAAATGTTAATTGGAAAATTTTGTAAACTATATTCACATTGTAACTTTTCCATGTTAAACGTTCATTTTCCAGAATACTGCAAGAACAGCTACCTAAAGCAAGAAGGCAAGCTAGGAGACCTACTGAGGTAATGAGTGAAATCAAGTAGAAAGAAAGTGCTTCAGAAAATATTAAGGAATTGCCACTAGTGCATGGAATTAGTATAATTTTTTGGTAATTTACATTCATTGTTTCAGGTAGAAGGCAAATAAAAAAGAATTCATCAAAGTGACATTTCCAATAAGAAGAAATATAAATAATCCAAAAGTTCTACCATAAGAGATAAGAAATATCCACACGATGACCTCAATATTTAACAAGAGTATGTGTGATGCACAAACACTACCAGAGATTATTTCTGAGTGTTGGAGAATTATGAGTAACTTTTAGCATGCTTATATTTCAGTATTTTCCCTAATTCTACATTGGTGTGTGTTGTTACTATGATCTTAAAAGTGTTACAAGCCCTTTTTAAATAAAAATATTGTCTAAGTATTTTGTGAAATTTATGTGTCAGAAAATGTATTAGCACACATCTTTATTTTCACAAATGTGTTCTTAGACAACCCCGTTAATCACTTTGCCTAGCTGCAATATTACTAGAAATACACATGAAACAGCACCTGTTTTTTAGAAGGTAAATTAAAAAAAAAAAAAAGCTTTGGGAAGTAACAAGACATGGCAAACTTTGTCAAGGAGCTCTTACACTCTTCTGGGGGAAGGCAGGAGAGCCTATACACTCTTATCATCTGTAATACTGAAGAAAAACTATGACAGTCACTCCATAAATATTGGCTACTTACTACTTGACTGAATGGAAAAGCAGGAAAGTTTTTTCAGCTTCCACCTACAAATCATAAAGTAAATTCCTCTCAGTGTTATTCAAATCCAATTATACTTCAGTGCCACTTTGCATTCTATCTTAAAGTCTCAGTAAGCTAAATAATCCATGTTTCCAAATTGCATTCATAGTTTGGTTTTGGAATGGTGTTTGAGGACCTGCTATAGAACAGAGTATAAAGCATTCAGTATTTGGTTTTCAGGTATTTCTTTCTTATTACAAACAGCTCTGAAAATTATTAGAGACTCTTGTTACAGAATGGACACTGTTCTAAGGAACTTTAAATAAAAATCAAAAATATAATTCATTACATTTTTACTGGTTGGTTACTATTTCATGCACTTAGTATGACAATGCTGTGGTACTGATGAGCCTAAGGAATTGAAAATTTGCTGATCAACTTTCCATAAACCCCAATGTCACACTCAGGCTTCCAAAAAAAAAAAAAACCAAGTGCAAAGAAGTTTCACTGTGTGATCCGACTTACATCATCATCTACAATTCATATTGATTTAGCTGCTTTATTTTTCAATACCATCTTCAAAATCAATTGTAAATCCTTAAGATCAAGTATTTGGATTTTTTTTTTACTTTATATATAAATGCATGTCCCTGATATTATAATTTATTTAATATCTTAATCAATTTGGAAAGTTGCACTTACTAGATGACAAAAGTAATAGGTTGATGTTTTGTTTGTTTTACTGCTTTGTTTTCCTCAGTTTCACTTTGCTAATGGCGTAGACATTACACTCATGATGCTGGGAACCCTGGCATCACTGGAAAATGGAGCCTGCCCTCCTCTAATGTCACCGGTTTTAGGAGAAATGAGTGATTACCTTATTAGTGGCTGTCTAGTCCATACCAACGGAAGTGTGTATAAGACTTGGTTTTTTGTATGACTAGAGACTTAAAGACATTAAATGAAACAGACATTGAGCTCATAAGGCAGATTATATTATAAACAGTATCTATGTAACATGTAATAAGTCATCTATTATTCTATATAGCTAGGTACTATACAGCCTGGATTACTCATCCTTCTCCAGAGAAACAACTAATAAGATATGTGTCCGTAGATACAGCTGTCTATCTGAGAGTGTGTATGCGTGAATAAAGAGAAAAAAAGACAGAGACGCAGAGAGCTTTTAAGGAATTATGGAGTCTGGCAAGTCTAAAATATGCAGGGTGGGCCAGTGGCTGGAGACCCAGCAGAGAACCAAGTCTGAGGGATATTTGCTTAGCGTTATACAAAAGTCATCCAAGACCCACTGTAGCTCAGCTCATCTCTAAAAAGTCTAACACTTTTCTACCAAAAGTGCTGATTATATCAGAATTTACTCAGCAGCTCAGGCCATGCTAGTCCACTTGTCTCTAATGCCTCTCTTAAAAAGAGAAATCAAAAAACTAAGAATGGCTGAGTATTTTGGTTTACCAGCTATGTAACAGACGTAGACCCTTGTGACATGGTGGAGCACAATCAACAAGGAAGCAGCAAAGAATGTACAGAAAGTTGTAGTACTAGAGACAGATGCCCTAAACAAAGATAAAGGGGGAAATCTAACAATTGAATATCAAAAAGTTTTCATATCGCCCATATTTGTAGATATCTTTCATATATCCTTTGCAGGATTCCACTTCAGGGTCATATCCTTCAAGGTACAATTATTCTTTTTAACTCAAGGCCTTGTACTTGTTAGGCAGGCACTCTATACTTGAGCCCTGCCTCCAGCTCTTTTTGCTTTGGTAGAGTCTCATACTTATCCCCGAGCCAGCCTGACCACCATCCTCCTATTTAACCTTTCCATGTAGCTGGGATGGCAGGCATGTGCCAACATGCAAAACTTCAACTGGTTGACATGGGTCTTGTGAACTTTTTGCCCAGACTGACCTTAAACTGCAATCCTACTGATCTCCACCTCCCAAGTAGCTAGGAATATAGGCATGAGCCACCATGTCTGGCCATATTATTCTTTAGAATACAAATTCCAATGCTTCTCCAACCTACAGATTCAGTGACCATCCATACTTTTTTATCTCCTAGACATTATAAACATTAACAATCCCTGATTTTCCATATTTGTTTCCAAACTTCACACTGAGAAGTATTCTTGTACCTATTTATTAAAACGGGGACAAATAACTCATTAAAACTTAGACTCTTTTAGACACTAGTTTCTTTGTGTACAGTGTACTATCCTCTGTGCCCTATTTGACTTAAAATATAATTTATACATTGTTATTTTCTACCCAAAGACTAATCTTACAAGTGTTACAATCATATTTGAATGGGCAAATCCCACTGGTTTCCATCTGTGTCCTACCAGGTGATGACTTCTGTCTAAATAGTTATGAGTTTTTTGATATTTTAATGTTGCCAGAAAAATTAAATATATAAGCAAAATTAAACATTTATGCTTTAATGATTTAAGCTAAATAAAAACTAAATTAACTGCTGTTATGTATATGGATCCACCAGGTCATTAAATACATATTTATTGATTGACAACTATGTCTTTGTGAATGAATAAGTAATAAACCCTGCAACCTAAGGCAATCTTGTTGCCAGTATTCTTTTTGTTATTATGTAGTCTACAATTGATTCTGTGTTAGTTAGGAACAGGCAGTACATATCTGATTGAAAACGTTGTGGTGTACATTATTAAATATGGTATGTTAGCTTTTTGTCACTGTGACAAAATACCTGACATAAACAACGTAAAAGAAGGAAAGATTTGTTTCGACTCCTGGTTTCAGAGGTTTCATCCGTGGTTGGCTGGTTCCATTTCTGTGGGCCTGAGGTAAGTTAGGACATCATGGTGGAAGTGCATGGAGGAGGACAAAAGGGAGCAGAGCTGTTTACCTCATGGTGGCTGGATGCAAAAAAAAGCAGAGAGTGAGCCTGAAATAGTAGGACTTCTTCCTTCTTCCACTTTTGTTCCATCTGGGATTCTGTCTTATTGGACACTGCAGGCCACCTCCAAGGAAGTCTTCTCCTTCAGCTGCCATCCTACATGACAAGCAGTGCCCGTGCAGATACATTCAGAAGTGTGCTTTACTAATCTCCTAGGCATCTGTCAGTCCAATCAAGTTAATCAAGATTAACTATCACATATGGAAAACATAAAAATAGGTTTGCTAAGGACCCAGATAAATTCATGGATATTATCAGTATATTACAACACACTACTAATGAGAAGTAGGAATATTAAAAGCTTTACTTCCAATATTTAAAAAATAACTTTATCAATTATTAACATTGCTTTTCTGGAGGATAATAGAGGAAAATTATTTTCTCCTACAAATAAAACATGGATATTGGCTGTCATTGATTGGGGGCTCATTTTTGTGCCATCTCTGAACTTTTGCACATACCTCTATTAATATAATCTCCAAAATGAAATTATACTATGTTTATGTCATTGTGATATCTTTTTTGAAGCAATTTTTGTTCTCTTTATTAGTTCAGTTAAATCTCATTAAAATATTCTGCTAGGTTTTAATGTCTTTACTTCTACCATGTCAATGGTGATATTTTTGGAATAAGCTGCCTCAAAATTGCAGATGACAACTCTATAAATAGAATAAGTAGAAATAATTATTTGTGTATAAATAAAACTCATAGACATTATTATATGGGATGATGCTGTGGTTATATGAGATGAATAGTTATGATGTCTGCAATTTCTTTCAAATGTTTATAAGTTTGAGTAAGAAAATTAGAAGAGTTGATAGTGTCCCTGGTTTTACACTGATGGTGAAATCAAGACCTTGGTGTACTATTAATGTATGATGAACTTTTTTCCTGAGAAATGTAGAAAAGTTTACATAAAATGCTTGTAACCAGAGAAATATTTGAAACCTGGTTTTATTATGTGGTTATCCTAATTATAACTTAACACATTTCAATGAGATTTCTTTCAGTTTTTTTCATGACTGCTTCTCCTAGAACAGCCACATGTTCTTGCTTGTCTTGGACTTTCTGTATCATTCCCTGGGGTGTACCAAACTTAATTCTAAATGCATGACATCAGCCAGGAATGGGGAATTCCATTACTACTACGTTTCTGACTGTTGCCCAATTAGAGGTGTCCTAGAGAATCTTTCTGGGTATGAGCTACATAGTTAATGTTCTTTTGTATTTTTCACATGTCATGAATATTTCTTGAGACCAGAGATAACTATTTTAAATACTACTTTAAGGAATTAAAAATAAGATACTCATAGACCCAAAGTCATTAAATCCATTATTTTAGAAAACATTGTATTTTGTTTGAGAATTATCTATGAAATAAAATGGCCAATTATAAATTAATATCCTTTATAATTTAAAAAACTTTTTTATAGCAAATTATGGGAACTGTACTTGGTCTCAAGAGGAACTGAATAAAGATATGATTATGTAAGTCCAAATGAAGCATTAATGTCATGCCATTGCATACTCTATTCAATACTTGTAAGAAAAAATAATTGAAAAGTTTGTCTCATTATTAATATTACATGTAAGTGACTACAGTAAAATGTGTGCGTCTTTCATTAGCTATATAGTATATTTGTGTAGAATATTTTCTTCTACTGAAAGGTATGTAATTCATATACTTTGAGTTACATTTGGAAAATGTAACTCAATAGAAAAGTAACATCAATAGAAAAGCTGTGAAGATTTACATTTTGTACCCATTTTACCTCCTAAAACAAATTGCAAGATCCTAAAGGCTGAAGAACTTGTTTTTCTTTTTTAAAAACTTATTCTCTTTCCAAGTCTTATAGAAAGTGCTATTTGTATAAATATTAAATATTTGTATATATTTGTATAAATATTAAAAACTGAAAAGATGAGCTGTGGGTATAACTCATTGGTAGATATACAAAACCCTGCATTTGATTCCCGGCACCACAAAATAAAAGTAGGAAAGATGATTACAACAAACATAGCAAAAGAAAATAATTTATAAAATTAAAAATTAAGGTTTTATTCCAACAAATTTCAAATGCTAATGATTCAAACTATTACAATGTTCCAGACTAAAAGTTATGAGGTCTGAATAATAAATAATTCCCAAAGGGACAGTCTGCTTTGATAAATTGTTTAAATTTACAAAAAATAATTTACAAATTTGTAAATTATTAAATAGTACATGTTACATGTGATGACGTGCCCAACTCATCAGGATTTTCTTTACTGAGCACATTCACTGGATTTCTGTTGTGTTTCACTAACACTATCAAAGCCCTCCCTATAGACCTCAGTGGACCCTGGTATTTCCCTCTGACAGTGAAACCCCATCTTGCAGAACTCCCAGGCACCCCAATCACATTATCATGACACCTTCTGGGTCTTTATTCTTAGCCTTCACTGTCCAATATGGTAGCCACAGCTTCATGTGGCTATTTAAATTTTAACTACATTAAACATTGGAATGTAGGGATCTCCTTTATAAAACATAAATCCTATTTTCCTTCTGTGATTTGCTTTATCTCCACTTTGAGGTTTATTGGTCATCTCAAACTTATGGTGTCCAAACCAGAACTCTTGTTCTGCCTTCAAATCTGTCCTTCTTCCAGTCTCCCACATCTGTAAATAGTGCCTTACTCATCCACTGCTCAAATCAAAACCTTGGGAATTGTATTTGTTTTCTCACCTTCCTTCATTCCTTGTATCCTGCACATTGGCAATTTTTTTAGGAAGAGTATGTTACTATGTTATAATGAATTGCTTTATTATTATAAACACAAACTGCAAAGCACTTAAGAAATCTAAGCATCATAGGAAATGGACAGCAATTCAACATTCAGGGTCACAGAACACTTAAAGGAGATTGTGACAGATTCAACTCTCACGGTGAAGAGAACATCTTCATAGGAAGAGGGGACCCAGGCGTCACAGCTTTTGAAGTTCTCTCTCCTCATCAAGGAACATAAGAGGCACTCCATTCAAGGGGGGGTGTGCAATTCAGTGCTCTTCAGGCAAGTCAACACCCTCAAAATCTAGAAGATCCAAGGTAAAGATTTTTTTCTATTTCTGCATAGGTATTATGGGAGGCAGGAAGACAGTTTTTTAGGCTGGCAGTTTTCTCAGTCATATTTTTGCAAAGAAGATTGACTTTTTGTTTGAAAGGCCCCTTAGCCTGCCAAAATACATCGCAAATCTGTCCACCTCTTTACATGTTGGCTGCCACCATCCTCATCCACCCCCTCCCTTCTCACCTTGCTCTTTGCAATAACTGCCTAACTGAACTTCCCGCCTTCATCATTGCCACTTTCATCCACTCTACAGAGGAGACAGGGTGAGCTTTTAAACGTTGAGCAGATGAAAAACAGGTCATGCTCAGGGAGGTCACAGGCGACATAGGAAGGATAAAAGAAGAAAGTTAAGAAAGTGACTATGGTTGATATACTTTCTATACAAGAATGAATATGAAATTTTTAAACCTGTTGAAATCACCATAAGAAGGGGAGTAAAGGAGAAAAATAGAGGAGATGAACCAATTCAGGTTATAAGAACTATAAATATGGAAATGTCATAAGGGAACATCCTGTCTTTTTTTTCTTTTATAAAATCAGAGAACAGGAAAGCAGAACAGGTCCTGTCTGGGGGGTTGGTACAAGTAGGAGGAGAAAGGATGTGGGAGGGTGAATATAGTGCAAATTCTGTGTACATATGTATGTAAATGGAAAACTGATATCTGTTGAAACTATTCTAGGAATGAGGGGAGAGGCAGATAAAGGAGAATGATGGAGGGGGTGAATTCAAGTATAATATATCTTATACATTATAAGAACTTTTGTACATGCCACAATGTACCCCCCAGTATAACAATACAAAAATTAATAATAATAATAATAATAATAATAAGTAAATAAAAGTTGAGCAGAGGGCTGGTGAAGTGGCTCAAGTGGTAGAGTGTCTCCCAACAAGCATGAGGCCCTGTGTTCAAGCCCCCAAGTACTGAAAAACAAAAAAATTGAGCAGATAATGTCTTCCTCTGCTTGAATTTTCCAATGATCTTCTGTTCTCTTGGAATAAAATGGAACAATGCACTGAGGGGGAAAAAAAAAAGAAAAAAATCCTGTGTTATGCCACATTCTCCAACCTTATCATTTCATGTTATTTTGAACTTCTTTTGTTCCTGGAATATGCTGAGATTTTTTTTTTTTGCCTCAGTCTGTCCTGGGAAAGACCTCTCTTCCCTCTCCTTGGAATGGTCTTCATGTCTTTTATGGTTAATTCCATTTCCCATTTTGGATTTCAGCTATAATATTATTCCCTCAAAGGAACTTTCTTAACCACTTATAATCTGCATTAGCTCTTTCAACCCATGCTTACCCACAAATTATTCTGTGGCCTATCACACTGTTTAACTTCCTTCATAGAATAACCTGAAAGTCTTTCTCTTTGTATATTGTCTCCATCTTCCCATCAGAATGCCAGGACCTGGTTTCTTATGTGGCCATGTTTCTAGAGCCTCACGTATAATGGGCACCCAATATAAGTTTATTAAATGACCAGTATCTTTTTTTTTTTTTGTCCTGCAAGTTAGCATTCACTACATCATCTACAGAATGGACGCTCAGTTGTCTGTAAGTAGATGATTTTTTTTTATTGTTTTATTATTCATATGTGCATAGAAGGCTTGGGTCATTTCTCCCCCCTGCCCCCACCCCCCTCCCTTACCACCCACTCCACCCCCTCCCTCTCCCCCCCACCCCCTCAATACCCAGCAGAAACTATTTTGCCCTTATCTCTAATTTTGTTGAAGAGAGAGTATAAGCAATAATAGGAAGGAACAAGTATTTTTGCTGCTTGAGATAAGGATAGTCAAACAGGGAGTTGACTCACATTAATTTCCTGTGCATGTGTATTACCTTCTAGGTTAATTCTTCTTGATCTAACCAATATCTTATCTTCTTTCCTCATTAGGTACTTAGACTGTATCCAGCTTTTCTGTGTTGTTACACATTTTGCAATGACCATCATACAAATTAAGCTTTGTGCAAATTGCCATATTTAAAGTTTTGATCAAATACTTGTGAATACTAATATTTTCTGTTCCCTCTTGCTTTACCTACATCTATCTTAGTCACCTCAATGTAACTTTTTCATGTGAAAGTATTAAAAACACCAAAAGAAGATATAAATAGCAAAATGTTTCAAAATATTCGTTTCTGCTGATAATATGAGAGACATACTCAAGATGTCTTACAAGGGAAACTTAGATTATTGCATTTAACATATACTTCACTCTTTATTATGGTGATTTTTAGTTATTTTCCACATTCTAATATAAATTTTCTCAAATATTATGAAGATTTCTTTCTTTTTGTTGGATGGAAAGCAGTTGTGCTTCATTCTAATGTTTCCAATAATCTTTCTTCAGCTTGACTCTGCATTGTGTTGGAATTTACTGCCTTGATTTCTGGCTATCTACGAATTTCCTTTTGGGTTATGTCTGCAACATGACAGACATTCAGTTTTGGGTCAGGACATCAGCTGGTTTGATGGCTGTGACTTTGGTGAACTTAACACTCTCATGACTGAGAAAGAGGATGCATGCATAATACATCAACTTTGTTTTCATGCATGACACATACATGACTGAACTACGTTCCTTGACTCAACAAAGTCAATGATGGTATTGGAGACAAGGTTTCTCTGTTGTTTCAAAACATATGTACTTTTTCTATTAGCCTAGCGATTGCGTAGGTAAAGGGCTGGAAACTTGCCCTGGTGACTCTGTCCACAGCTCCTCTTATCATGGCTTCTGCAGCAATGTGTTCTAGGATAAGTAAGCTAGTAGTGTTGACTGGAAGCAGAAGTGTGAACTCAATGCCTTTGAGTTTGTCAAAATTACATTTTTATTCATTTTCTATGTCCCAAAATACAAAGGGATAACATCGATCGATCATAAATACTTCTGATTTTGTTCATATTAATCACTTTTCCATCTTCAGTTATGTGGTTAAAATGAGGTTTATTTTAATAGCTTGCCAACAGTTAAAAAAAAAATCCTCACCATTGAGCAGCCTAACACCTCACATAATTCCACAGATGAAGTATGATGCTATTACACATCAGATGCTTAGTTTTTGCTGCTTGGAGAGCCTTGTGTGTTCTAAATTCCCAGATAAATATGTTGTAATTCATTTCCCTGGGTAAAACTCAGGGAGAAACTCCTAAAATAATAAACACTGAAAACCATTTTATATCACTCTCTTCACATTTACATTTCATAAGGTTTTGACTAATATTTAAAATATGTCAGTATCTCTTTTTTATGTACTACACTTATGTGCTTCAGTTTTTGAACAAATTATGTATTTGAAATTATAAAATTCCATTTTTAGCAGTGTTATATTGATATTAATCCTCTTTACAGCCTGGTTTTGAAATCACTGCTCTTTGTAAAATCCAAAAGCAAACAATATATGTCTGTAATATCCCTCTCCAAATCAAATCTTTGGCAATTCTACCAGTGTATATGCCCAACTCTTAGACTGGAGGCACAATAATTTTACAATATTATTGCTATTTTTGAAAATCAAATTCATAAAATGTTCTGGTTTACTTGTTGCCAATATACAAATTCAACCAAACAAGGATCCCCAGCAATTAAAATGTTCTGTGGTTGACTGATTCTTTAAGAATAAGATAGAGTATTTAGACAACCAGTTTTTATTTAGTGGGACTTCTTATTATCCTTGTCAAAACCTTTGTGACCAGCTTGAATTGAGGATCTCTCATTAGGAAGATTGCGCATAGTATATTATGATGCTCACAGCCTTAAACTGCTCAGGAAGAGAAACTGGCAAGGACTTGTAAAGGAACAGCAGAAGAAAATCTGAAGAGGAAGCAAAGTCAAGGTCCAAGTTCCCCCAAATGACTTAGAGATGCCAGGATGGGTGATTTTTAGCTTCCTTCAATTCAATATAATTTGTCAAGCATTCATTAAATCCTCACTATGTACCAGTCTTTGCATGAGATGGTGTTTCCCCTCCAATGACAGATTATTGGAAGAATTGTATTTATCAAATGAACTCAAAATATAGTGAACATTACTCAGCATAAATTAGCCCCTGACTTTTATAGCTATCCAAGCATGTCATACATAAAATCAGCTGAAATTATGTGGAATGTGGGGAGATCTGCTATATGAGTAGGCAGTATTATAAACTCTCAGCTCTGAAGGTGATATTGCTGCTGTTCTCTTACCCTGAACTGTTGTGCTAATCACTAAGCTAGAAAGGATTAGTAAGCAGGGCATAAAATAGAGCAAAGGGCACAGCTGATTTCAAGCACTGAGGTATCAGATAAATTTTCCTGCTATTACCAATAGTAATATCCCCCTTCCACTCCAACTCTCACCTCTAGGTGTTCAATAATAGTTTCAAGGTCACACCTCCACATATGAAGTCCCCTTCAGTTCCTCTTCCTGGCCAGTCCAGTAAACCATACCCTCTGGAATCCTTGCTTTGTACATAATAACACATCAAATCAACTCTAATCAGGCTAACTTTTATAATGCCCTAAAAACAGTATCTTCAATGTCCTGCAAATCAAGTATTCCCCCACTGTATGAATGAAAGTACCCACATCTAAGAGAGTTTTTAAAAATACAGAGATCTTGAAAACAGGAATGCTCCATTAGTAGAAATAAAATCAAGAATTTAAATGCTGGGCAATGTTAGGATACTTGAGGATTCTCATTCAACCTGAATTAAATGCTCTGTACATTGTTACTATCTCAGGTTCATTCTATGGTAACCTGTGGTCATGATTTATTACAGATGGTCATCTCATTGACCAGTAAGGAACTGAGTGCCTATTCCAAGTCTGGGGCTATAGCAGAAGTCTTGTCATCAATCCAAACAGTGATAGCTTTTGGAGTCCAGAAAGAAATTCAAAGGTCTGTACCTTTAGTTACGACAGAATATGCTAGCTTTTATTTTCTCAAAAGGTCTTAACATTGTACTTTGTCTTTGTAGGGTATACACAGAATCTAAAAGACGCAAAGGATGTTGGCATAAAAAAGGCTACAGTTTCAAAACTGTCTCTTGATGCTGTATATTTGTTTATGAATGGAACCTTTGGACTCGCTTTTTGGTATGGAACCTCCCTGATCCTTCTTGAAGAACCTGGTTATACCATCAGGACTCTACTTGCTGTAAGTCTTGTTTAAGAACAAAGGGAACTGGTCTAGATCATCTTTTCTTACCTACAGCTTAGTAAAAACACTACTGTGATTGAAAATGAATATTCACAGATAAATGTTTGTAATAAACAAATATTTATTTCCCTCACATGAATTGTATATACTTTTAAATTATGCATATGACTTGACAGAATTTATGTTTTATTGTCCTCATTATGCTAAGCATTGTGCTTTTAGAAGAATCATAATGTATTCCCCACTACACTAGGTGACACACAGTTTTCTTAATTCAGCAGTCAAAAGGGACAGTCTCTAGAGGGACATATCCTTTTATGCTTGCTGAGATGTGATGGCATTCTGCCTTCACCTCGCTAAATGTCTTCTCTCTGGAAATACTCTGGATTGAACTCATCTGCACTGTCCCTTCAGCATATAGCAATGCTAAAAACAAGCTACACACAGCTCTGTCCAATGCTGCAATTCAGAGTCATCGAAACTCCTACAGCCTATTTATTAAATTTTAATTTATTTAGCTATCCTCTCACATTTCAACAATGAACAGATCAATTCAGGATTAAGAAACATTTGTCATGGTGAAGTAAATTGATCTGCTATTCTTATTTGGTCTTCCCATTCTGTACAGATTTCTTTCAATTAAATTTTTTTTCAAATTGGAGAGTTTCATAGTTAAGACTTTAAGCTCTTCATTTATCTCACATAAAGTGAAATATGAGCATGAAGACTTTGGGGCTAATCTTTACTCCTTTACCTCCCTCATCTATAAGATAAGGAAAATAGTACTTAGCTCACAGAGTTCTTTCCTCATTTGACTTTTTTCAAATGCATTTGTCTGAAAATAGATATCTTTCCAGTGATTTTTAAAAATTCAAGAAACAAGAAAAAAACTAGAAATAGGGCTGGATGAGTGGCACAAGTGGTAGAGTACCTGCCTAGCAAGTAAAAGGCCCTGAGTTCAAGCCCCAGTGCCACAAAAAGAGTTAGAAACAGTACAAAGTCTATGAGCTAGTGACATCCATTACTCTCTTCTTGTTACAGTTCATGGGCTGACCAGAGAGGAGGGAGGTACAACTAGGGAGTATAGCTCATCTCCTCATCATAGGTCCATGCAGAGCCAGCACTGTTCAGTCAGCACATTTTCCTGCTCAGATGTCACTGCAATGATAAACCACAAAGCCAGAGGACCATTGATTACTCTGTATTAGATACTTGGATAAACTCTCACTGCCTTTATATTTGATCTCAGCTTCCACTCTTTCTTACCTAGTCCTTCTAATGTCTCTCTGAGAGCTTATGCCACATCTATCTTTCATCTTGTTGCCTGTCTTACATAATTGTGGAGGGTAAACATGATTTTGTGTTCCACAGGTTTTCTTCAGTGTAGTCCATACTAGCTATTGAAGTGGAGCAGCAGCCCTTCACTTTGAAACCTTCACTATAGCCTGAGGAGCTGCCTTTAATATTTTCCAGATTATTGATAAGGTAAGACCTCTTACTGCTTTGAAGGGCATCTACCATTACAACACCAAAAAACAGACACATTCATTCACTAAACAAAAAGATGAGCAAAATCCATGTTTGCCAGTTGGCTAGAGAAAGAAAGACTGCTATTAACTCTTTTATGAGGGGATTGTGTTTTATTGAAACCTTCCCTGTCTAACTTAATGCATTTCTAAAGCAGAAAGGAAAACATTATAAAATAAAATCATCTTTGAACTATTTTTAGAATCTGGAGAGTGCCGGCTTAGTCCTTTGAAGATTTACAACATTTTCTTTGTTTCTCCAAGAAACCCAGTATAGGTAACTTTTCAACAACAGGATATAAACCCGAATGCATAGAAGGAACTGTGGAACTTAAAAATGTTTCTTTCAATTATCCATCAAGACCATCTATCAAGGTAGATCAAATTTAGTAGTATTGTGAAGTGTTCTGCTACTGTCTTCTACTGGCTAAGACCTTCTCTTTATGGATTATTTAGAATGACTTTGACCAAGATTTTGGCTAATTGGCTTAAAGTCTGGGCAGGACATGCAGACAGATCAGTACTACAATGGAACAACATCTTTTCTATAGTTGACTGACTACATTTTTTAATTCACTGAAATTCCTCCACTAGATTTGAGAACCCACCAAAATGGTCTGAATTAATGATAATACCTAGTGGTGGTCCCTGGATGTTTGTTATCCCACTTCACATGGATATCTCATTTTAACCTCAGAGTTTCTACCAGGGGTACTACACACGTGCTGTGCATTTTTCTTCTACCTTCCCCAGGGCTTTCACTGCATCAGCAATTATCCCTTAGGTATCTTCCTTCTTGCTTTACACATGCACATATGCACACACATGTGCACTCACTCATACACATGCACACACAGAGCTTGTTTTCTTTGCTCTTTCATTCAGTCTTTGATAAGTTCTTGTGGAAATGTGTCTATCGCTCCTATTATCTTCCTCCTTACATTTGATTAGCATATTTATCTCCCCAAATGCAATACTGTTAAAGATTATAAAGGGAAATTACTAACAAAGTACCTGTTTTGTAGGGAAAAAAGGCAAAATTTTAAGTAAAATAGATAAAATTATTAATATCATCAACTTCTAATGTCCCTGACAGAGTTTGCATTTTAAATTATCTACCTACTCCTATTTCCTTACTTTTCTCTAAAACTTTTACTGAAATTCTCTTCAAGACCCTTTATTTTTCTAAATTTTGTTCCTTAATTAACCTTATTAGACTAGGGTTACCTTCCACCATTTTTCTTAACATAGAGTATTTCAGACTACATTTTGCAGCTACGTCTAGGTGTTAGCTTCCTGGGTCCTGAGAACTAATTACACCCTTATATTGCATTGGAATGTGTTCTGTGGGTTCTAAACAATGATTTTTTTAAAATGAACTTCTGAAACATAACCCTTTTTGTTAAGCTGGAGATAATTGTCTGAAAGTCTACCCCGTTAAACCTACCAAACACAGATTCTTCCAAAGAATGAAGAAAAACCAACTGGAGGGTAAGAGGGCAGGTGGGAGAAGACATACTCCTCTCTGAGATCCTGATTCTCAACTCCTTCAGAAAATGTTTCTCTGCTTGATTCTTGAAGATTTGATGCTGGATTTATTTAAAGGGTCTGTTTCTTTACAAATGATGAGATCAAAGTGAGAGAATACATGGGGAGAATCCTGTTATCTGGGCTGAAAAACGTATAAGTTGCAAGCAAAGATAGGCAAAGGCTCCCCGGGACGGCTCCTGTCACATGGGAAGGGTAGGTATTGACCGCTTTCACATCGTGGATCCCTGGGACAATAAATGCTGGTAGCAGCCCTCAGTAATTGAGAAAGTCTTAAATCTTCCCACCATGTTGAAATGGCCCCATTAAATCCACTACTGGAGAGGGAGGGTTTCTAGAAAGGTGAAATCCCATCTATGGGAGTTGCTAATGAGTGTTGCCAGTTGTTGTGGTCTTTGGAATAAATTTTGAAATACTGTTAAGTATATTTCTTAAAAAGCACATCATTAAATAACTTGAAAAGTTATCTGTCAAGATATCATTCAGGAATTCCAATATGGCAGCTAGAGGGAGGAAGCAGAAAGTGTGCCTCCTAAAGTAAAATCTTGGAGAGACGCTTGAGATACGCCTTACAGGAAAAACCACTGAGTAGAGGTAAAACTTTGACTCTTCCACACCTCCAGACTGTGCATAGCATCTCCACTTCACATTAACCAGAGAAACCAGGAGGGCTCCCGTGCCACTGCCAGATGCCGGCACCCAGATGGCTTGGGAACCACACGGACCACAAGGTGAGCTAAGCCATACGTGGTACTCCCACAGACAATCCTGGGCCAGATCAGCATAGCCCCCTGGACAGACCGACCCCCACCCAGGGAAAAAGGAGAAACTGAATAATAAGCAATAACAACAAAAAAGACATGTAGCAAAGAAGGTGGGGTGCCCTGAGTGCCAAAGAGGGAGGCAGGGAAAATCCCTCACAAGCCAGCTGGAGAAGGCAGGAGCAGTGGCACTGCCCAGCAATCAGGACCGGGAAAGCTTGTAAAAGTGGTGGCAGGAGGAAAACGCCACAGGAGAGGGGGAAGACCCACTTCCCATGTGAACTGTAAATAAACATGCAGGCCTGAGAAAGCTGGTGCAGTGTCACCTCACCCAGTGTGCTTGGAAAGGAGAAAGCTTGTAGCAGTGGCGGTTGCGCCCAGGAGAACTCTAAGTAAACAAAGCCTGAGGGGCTGGTGAGTGTTAAGCTCACTCCTGAGATCTGCATAAATAAAGTCTCCAGCAACAGCAGGCTGACAACAGCAGGCAGGTAAGCCACAGCCACAGATAGCCATTCACAGACCTGTCTCCAGACTTTTTTTTTTTTTCTTTCTTCCTTTGATGAGACAACAACTGAACTACACCTGCATGCATGCTGAAAAACTTACTGAAACTGTATTGCATTTGAACTTGGGACATTTTGGGTTTTTTTTTTTTGTGCTGTTTTGTTTTGTTTTGTTTAGTTTTTGTTCCCCTTTGATGACGCAATGATAGAACTACTTCTGAGACACCATCTCTAGGACTGGAGGCTGAGGGAAGAACACCAAAATTATTAAGACTGAAACTTTATTGCATTTGAACTTGGAGATTTTTTTAATATATATTTTTTATTCATTTATTTATCTTTTATTTTTATCTTATTTTTATTTTTTATTTTCAATCTTCTCTCTGTCTCTCTAATGCTTGATCAGCTTACTGTTGATTACTATACTATCTCTCCCTGTTTATATCTTTGAAACTTTTTTGTTGTTAGTTTGTTTTGTTTTTTTCTACTTGTTTATTTGTTTTTCCCTGTTTCTTTAACTTCTTTGCTCTCCCTCTCCTCTTACCCTTCCATACTAAATATCACCATTGTTATTATTACAAGCTAGAAAATAATTGCACACAGTACAGGGACAATAACAACACTAAGGGCAATGATGAGAAGAAAGAAAAAAAAGGGAAACCAGTTTCCCCACAGCAAAAAATTAGTACAGGAACCAGAGGGAAATGAAGAAAACAGATACTCAGATCCAGACTACAACAAAATGAAGATAAACTATGCCAAAGAACCCAATGAAGCCACAAGAATAACTAAAAGAAGAAATACTACAGGTAATCAATGAGAATTTTATAGAGATGATACTGGATAATGGTCAACCAAAAATGTCAGGAGACATTCAAGAAATTCCAAGACAACAAAAATAGAGCATTTGAAAAAGCACAAGAAGAAATAAAAGAAACCATGGAAGCACTGTATAAACACCAAAGTGAAAAAAAGAACACAATTAATAAAGAGATAAATGAACTCAGGGTGAAAATAGGCAACATTAAGAGGAAACCACCCAGGATATGGAAAACCTCAGAAAAAAGAATGAAACAGAAATGCAAAACAAAATGGAAGGCCAATCCAGCAGAATAGAACAAACAGAAGACAGAATCTCAGAACTCGAAGATGAAATGGTAATTAAAGGAAAAACTGAAGAACTATTAATTAAACAACTCAAGACCTGTGAAAACAAAATGCAAGAACTCACCGACTCCATCAAAAGACCAAACTTGAGAATCATGGGCATTGGAAGAAGAAGAGGTGCAAGCAAAGGGAATGTGTAATATATTCAACAAAATAATAACAGAAAATTTCCCAAATCTAGAGAAAGATATTCCCATACAGATGCAAGAGGCCTCCAGAACACCAAACAGACCAGACCAAAATAGATCTACCCCATGGCATATCATCTTTAAAACAACAAGTACAGAAACTAGGGAAAGAATATTGAAGGCTATAAAGAGAAAAAACAAATCACATACAAAGGTAAAATCAAAATCACAGCAGACTTCTCAACAGAAACATTAAAAGCAAGAAGAGTGTGGGGTAAGATCTTCTGGGCACTGAATGAAAGTAACTTCAACCCCAGGATACTCTACCCAGCAAAACTATCATTCAAAAGAGATGGAGCAATAAAAGTCTTCCATGATAAGCAGAAACTAAAACAATATGTGACCACAAAGCCACCACTAGAAAAGATTCTTCAAGGGATTCTGCAAACAGAAAATGAAACCCAACATAGTCATGAAGGGGCAGGCAGCACCAAACTACAGGAAAAGAAAAAGCAAGAAAGTAGAGAGTAACCTCAACTTAGCTACACACAATCAAACCGTCAAACAACAAAGACAACTAAATGACAGGAATCACCACATACCTATCAGTACTAAAGCTTAATGTTAACGGACTTAATTCTCCCATCAAAAGGCACCATTTGACAAAATGGATTAAAAAGGAAGATCCAACAATTTGTTTTTTACAGGAGACCCATCTCACCGACAGAAATAAGCATAGACTTAGGATGAAAGGCTGGAAGAAGATTTACCAAGCCAATGGCCCCCAAAAACAGGCAGACTAACAATACTTATCTCTGACAAAGTAGACTTCAAACCTACATTGATCAAACAAGATAAAGAAAGACATTCCACACTAATAAAATAGACCAAAAGGAATTAACAACTATCAACATATATGCACCCAATGTCAACGCACTCAATTTCATCAAACATACCTTGAAGGACCTAAAAGCCTTTATTAACTCCAACACAGTGGTTGTGGAAGACTTTAACACCCCATTATCATCAATAGATAGGTCATCCAAAAAAAAATCAATAAAGAAATCCAGATCTAAAATATACATAGATCAAATGGACTAGTTGATGTCTACAGAACATTTCATCCAACTTCTACACAATATACATTCTTCTCAGCAGCCCATGGAACCTTTCTCAAAATAGATCATATCCTAGGGCACAAAGCAAGCCTCAGCAAATATAGAAAATAGAAATTATACCATGCATTCTATCTGATCACAATGCAATAAAACTAGAACTCAACAAAAAAGTAAAGACAAAAAACATGCAAACAGCTGGAAACTGAATAACTCATTGCTTAATGAACAATGGGTCATTGATGAAATAAAAGAGGAAATTAAAAATTCCTGGAAGTCAATGAGAAAACCTACCGAACTATGGGACAGCAAGGCAGTCCTGAGAGGAAAGTTTATAGCCATGAGTGCATATATTAAAAAGACTAAAGATCCAAATCAATGACCTAATGATACATCTCAAATCCTAGAAAACAAGAACAAGCAAATCCCAAAACAAATAGGAGAGAAATAATAAAAATAAAGCTGAAATCAATGAAATAGAAACCAAAAAACCATACAAAGAATTAATGAAACAAAAAGTTGGTTCTTTGAAAAATAAACAAGATGACACCCTGGCAACCTGACTAAAATGAGGAGAGAAAAAAACCAAATTAGTAGAATCAGGAATGCAAAAGGGAGATAACAACAACACCATGGAAGTCCAGGAAATCATCAGAGACTACTTTGAGAACCTATATTCAAATAAATTTGAAATCTTAAAGAAATGGACAGATTTCTAGATACATATGATCATCCAAAACTGAACCAAAGGATATTAATCACTGAATAGATCTATAACAAAAATGAAATTGAAGCAGCAATCAAGAGTCTCCCCAAAAAGAAAAGTCCAGGACCTGATGATTCTCTGCTGAATTTATCAGACCTTTAAAGAAGAACTGATACCAACCTCCTTAAACTGTTCCATGAAATAGAAAGGGAAGGAAACTGCCTAACACATTTTATGAAGCCAGTATTACACTTATCCCAAAACCAGGCAAAGACACCTCCAAAAAAGAACTATAGGCCAATCTCCTTAATGAACATTGATGCAAAATCCAATAAAAATAATGGCAACAATTCAACAACACATCAAAAAGATCATTCACCATGACAAAGGAGACTTCATCCCAGGAATGCAGGGGTGGTTCAACATATGAAAATCAATAAACGTAATAAACCACATTAACTGAAGCAAAGACAAAAAACACATGATCATCTCAATAGATGCAGAAAAAGCCTTTGATAAGATCCAACACCATTTCATGATAAAAGCGCTAAGAAAACTAGGAATAGAAGGAAAGTACCTCAACATTATAAAAGCTATATATGACAAACCAACAGCCAGCATTATACTTAACAGAGAAAAACTGAAACCATTTCCTCCAAAACCAAGAACTAGACAAGGATGCCCACTATCTCCACTCCTATTCAACATAGTACTGGAATTCCTAGCCAGAGCAATTAGGCAAGAAGAAGGAATAAAAGGAATACAAATTGGTAAAGAAACTGTCAAAATATCCCTACTTGCAGATGACATGATCCTATACCTTAAAGACCCAAAAAACTCTACTCAAAAGCTTCTAGACATCATCAATAGCTATAGCAAGGTAGCAAGATATAAAATCAACATAGAAAAATCATTAGCATTTCTATACTATATATATGAAAACAGTTCCATTTACAATAGCCTCAAAAAAAATCAAATACCTAGGTGTAAACCTAAAAAGGATGTGAATGACCTCTACAAGAAAACTATAAACTTCTGAAGAAAGAGATTGAGGAAGACTATAGAAAGTGGAGAGATCTCCCATGCTCATGGATTGGTAGAATCAACATAGTAAAAATGTCATACTCCAAAAGTAATCTACTAATGTTTAATGCAATTCCCATCAAAATTCCAATGACATTCATTAAAGAGATTGAAAAAATCTACCGTTAAATTTATATGGAAACACAAGAGGCCACGAATAGCCAAGGCAATACTCAGTCAAAAGAACAATGCTGGAGGTATCACGATACCTGACTTCAAACTATATTACAAAGCAATAACAATAAAAACAGCATGGTACTGGCACAAAAACAGACATGAAGACCAGTGGAACAGAATAGAGGACCCAGATATGAAGCCACACAACTATAACCAACTTGTCTTTGACAAAGGCGCTAAAAATATACAATGGAGAAAAGACAGCCTCTTCAACAAAAACTGCTGGGAAAACTGGTTAGCAGTCTGCAAAAAACTGAAACTAGATCCATGTATATCACCCTATACCAATATTAACTCAAAATGGATCAAGGATCTTAATATCAGATCTAAGTTGATACAGGAAAGAGTAGGAAATACTCTGGAATTAGTAGGTATAGGTAGAACTAGGACTAAGGATTTCTCAATGGAACCCCAGCAGACAAGAACTCTCAGGAACAGCAGCAGCATAAGAGATAGCATAGATAAGGGACTTCATAAAATAAAAAGCTTCTGCTCAACAAAAGAAATGGTCTCTACACTGAAGAGACCACCCACAGAGTGGGAGAAAATATTTGCCAGCTACACATCAGACAAAGGACTGATAACCATAATATACTGGGAACTTATAAAACTAAATTCTCCCAAAACTAATGAATCAATAAAGAAATGGGCAAGTGAACTAAACAGACTTTCTCAAAAGAAGAAATTCAAATGGCCAAAAAACACATGAAAAAAATGCTCACCATCTCTATCAATAAAGGAAATGCAAATTAAAACCAAACTAAGATTCCACCTCACCCGTGTTAGAATAGCCATCATTAGCAACACCACCAACAACAGATATTGGTGAGGATGTGGAGAAAAAGGAACCCTCTTACACTGTTGGTGGGAATGTAAACTAGTACAACCACTCTGGAAAAAAATTTGGAGGCTACTTAAAAATCTAAACATTGATCTACCATATGATCCAGCAATACCACTCTTGGGCATATATCCAAAAAATATGACACAGGTTACTCCAGAGGCACCTGCACACCCATGTTTATTGCAGCACTATTCACAATAGCCAAGCTATAGAAACAGTCAAGATGCCCCACTACTGACAAATGGCTTAAGAAAATGTGGTATTTATAATCAACGGAATTTTATGCATCCATGAAGAAGAACAAAATGTTATCATTTGCAGGTAAATGGATGGAATTGGAGAACATCATTCTGAGTGAGGTTAGCCTGGCCCAAAAGACCAAAAATCATATGTTCTCCCTCATATGCGTGGACATTAGATCAAGGCAAACACAACAAGGGGATTGGACTTTGATCACATGATAAAGCGAGAGCACACAAGGGAGGGTGAGGATAGGTAAGACACCTAAAAATTAGCTAGCATTTGTTGCCCTCAATGCAGAGAAACTTAAGCAGATACTTTAAAGCAACTGAGGCTAGTAGGAGAAGGGGACCAGGAACTAGAGAAAAGATTAGATCAAGAAGAATTAACCTAGAAGTTAACACATGTGCACAGGAAATTAATGTGAGTCAACTCCCTGTATAGCTGTCCTTTTCTCAACCAGCAAAAACCCTTGTTCCTTCCTATTATTGCTTATACTCTCTCTACAACAAAATTAGAGATAAGGGCAAAATAGTTTCTGCCGGGTATCAAGGGGGTAGGGGGAGGGGGGGAAGGGGGGAGAAATGACCCAAATATTGTATGCACATATGAATAAAAAATAAATTAAAAAAATATATATCATTCAGTTGTTATAAATTAAAACTTCTATTAACTTGGTAGTCATTAAATTCATGTAAGAAATTTTAGTTGAAAATATGAACAGTCTGCTATTGTATGAATACTCTTAACTCTCTTATTGTTTTTAAAAACTTTGGAGGTACTGGGGTTTAATTTGAACCTCAAGCACTCTACCACTTGAGCCAGGCCTTTATCTCTTTTTGCTTTAGTTATTTTTCAGATAGATGCTCATGGTCAATGTCAGATTTTCCTACCATGCCTCCCACATAGTGGGATTATAGATAAGCAACACCAAGATCTCTTTAAATGGAGAAATGATGAGAAATTTTTTAAAACAATTTTCAAAAATTATTTAAATTATTAAACATAAGATCAAAATTTGTTTCTTGGTCCCACAGAAAAATTTGCTTTCTGTCTATAATTACACATCAAATTTCTGAAAGTGTATGCGTCATATTCTAGCTCTTCCTAACTTTATGGCTTTTCTGTATATTCTAATAGATTCTGAAAGATCTGAATCTCAAAATTAAGCATGGAGAGACCATGGCCTTGGTTGGCCCCAGTGGCAGTGGAAAGAGTACAGTGGTCCAACTCCTGCAGAGGTTGTACGATCCTGAACAAGGCATTGTGAGTGCAGGTTGCTAGAAAAAACACCTGTAGTCCACACCACAGGATTGGAAACACCATCTGTTACAGAGAGCTGACAGCTATGTGTCAACTTTGCATTTTTAACAGTGAAGCTAAGAAAGAAGCCATGTTGTTTCCTTTCCTGTATATTTATTCATTCAACAAACATAGTAAGCACTTGGTATTTGCTGGTATGCAGTTTCAAGGAGAACTCTGATTGGTTTTGTTTGTTTGTTTAAATTTTATTTGTATATAATAGTTATACAGGGAGATACACTGTGATATTTACATATGCGCTTATAATATATCTCAAATTTACACTGTCCATCGCTCTCCCTCTTCCCCCGCTTCTCCCCACTTTTTAGAGTAATTTCAACAGGATTTATTCTTCTATTTTCATATATGGGTACAAAATACATCCACCACATTCACCCTCATTCCCCCTTTCCTTATCTCCCTCCCACTGGTATCTACCCCTGGAAAAGACCTATTTTACCCTCTGCTCTTCATTTTTTTTAATTGTATATTGAAAGCCCAAGGAGAATTTGCCTTGGTACTTCAGGCGTGTATATATCATGCTTTAATCAAATTACTCCCCTCCCCATTACATACACATTCTCTGTCCCTATGCTCCCCTAATATTCAAAAGCTTATGGTACAGTGCATTATATTATATTCATGTATAGCTGAGTCATTTCAGTATTTATTATTCTCTAACATTTCTTTCCCTCTCCTGCTTCCCACAGTCCCCTCAGACAGACTCGCTAATACAATTTTGTTCTCTCTTGCACTATAATATGGATGAATTTACATAGATGATAGATAGATAGATGATCATATATGTATTTACTAATACATTTGACTCATAGGTCTAGCTTCCACATATGAGGGAAAACATATGACCTTTGACTTTTTTCAGCCTGGCTTACGTTGCTTAACATGAAATTCTCCAGTTCCACCCACTTACCTGCAAACACCAGAAGTTTGTTCTTTTACGTGGCTGAATAAAACTCCATTGTGTATATATACCATATTTTCTTAATCCAGTCATCAGTCAGGGGCATCTGGGTTGTTTCCAAAGCTTGGCTTTTGTGGATAGTGCTGTAATACGCATGGGTGTGCAAGTGGCTCTCTGTTATGCCGGAACACATTCCCTCAGATATATGCCAGGAGAGGTATCACTGGACCATATGATAGTTCTATTTTTAGTTTCTTGAGGAAACTCCATATTGCTTCTCATAGCAGTTGCACTAACTTACATTCCCACCAACAGTGTAGAAGTGTTCTTTTTCCCCCCACATACTCACCAGCATTTGTTGTTGTTTGTGTTCTTGATGACAGCCATTTTGACTGGAGTGAGGTGGAATCTCAATGTCATTTTGGTTTGCATTTCCTTTATGGCCAAGGATATTGGGCGTTTCTTCATATATTTATTGGCCATTTAGACTTCTTCTTTTGAGAATTGTCTCTTCAGTTCAATTCCCTATTTCTTCATTGGTTGCTGATTCTTTGGGAGTTTAGTTTTTTGAGCTCTCTGTTTATTCTGGTTATTAATCCCTTGTCAGATATATATCTGGCAAAGATTATCTCCCATTCTGTAGGCTGTCTCTTTAGTCTGGTGACTGTTTTCTTTTTAGTTCCATGTAATTCCATTTGTCAATACTTTCCTAAGAAGACCTCAGTTTAAGAAAAACCATGAATGCTCAGTACACTAAAATGACTCAAATTTACCTATACTATATGTACAGTAGGTCTGAGCACCCTTAACTAGAAATCACGTGGAATAGGCTACATTACTGTCACAAAATTAGTGTTGTGCACATTAATACTACTCACCAGAATACAGTAGTATATTGTATGCTCAGTAGAATTTGTACAGTACTAATACAAAAATTCTAACACCCTACCTCCACAATGCAAGGAAAATTTCCTCCATGTATTTAAATTCATCTTACACATGTTACATACTACCATCTAGTGTTAACATTGACAACTAAGTCTCAAATTTTTACTATTTACCACTTATGCAAGTTATGTAGCTTTTTTGGCTTGGGAGGATTACCATAACTTTTACCTTGCTTTTGGTCAAAACTGAGTACAGTAAATCTGTGAATAGGTAGCTTACTGTACTTGTGTTGTGTCAACTATGTGTCAGGCATAGTTCTAGGTTTTAGGAATTTCTCAGTGAACAAAATGGATAAAAATCTCTACTTTCATGAAGTTTACAGTCTAATAAATACAGACAGATAGCTACAATAAGTATTAGCATGGTATGCTAAAAGTGAATGAATGCTTTGAAGAAAGATAAGAGCAGTTTGTAATGCCCAGAACCTAACAAGAATTTCTGATTTTGAGCTGAACATGGCGACTCACACTATAGTCCCAGCACTCAGGAGGCTGAAGCAGGAGGGTCACAATTTCAAGTTAACTAGGACTACATAGTAAGACCCTGTCTCAAGAAAATAACAAATAAACAATGACAACAACAACAACAAGGAATTTCAAATTTTGTCAGACCATCCTAGAAGAATGATATGTGTAGAAAATACTCTGATTCTGTTTTTTGTAATCTGTAAAGATGCACTTAACTTTGTCACCCTTACAAATAACTTAGAGAATAGGACTGATCTCCCCAAGTGTATAATTCTCTGTTTCTGTGCAAACTTTCAACTGCTTTTTAGAAAAACATCTACTCCCCTAGAGCTCTCTTTTATTTAAATTTCACTTCTTAGTCTTTGAATATGTTAGACCCAGAGTCTATGCTAATATTGACTAAATAAATTATTGGATAAGCTTTCCATGTATAAGAGTTGTATAGAATGACCATTCTCAGAAAAATAGCAGAGTTGATGAGAAACTAAAAACCTGTGATTGCCACACCTGGGCCTCTGTCATTGGAATATGTATGGGTAATGGCTGTCCTTATGGAGAAGACAGAGTTCATTTAATACTAGTTATAGCACTGAACAGAAGACACTTTTGTCTTTTGTGGGTGAGCAAGGTACTGAAGAAAGAAAAACTTATTTCCTGGAAGTTAAAACAAGAACATCAAAACTGTTTGTCTTTCTTATTATTACTTATACTTTCTCTTCAACAAAATTAGAGATAAGGGCAGAACAGATTCTGCCTGGAAGGGAGTGAGGGTGGGGGAGAAAGAGAAAGGGCAGTGAGTAGTGGGGAGAAATAGCCCAAACAATGTATGCACGTATGAATAAATAAAAAAAAGAACATCAAAACTGAAGTTTGTTACATGTGTCTACATATAACATTTGTGGCACCTAATCTGTGAATTTTAAAGTAAGTAGTTTGACAAGATTTTAAGCCAATCTTTTCTCTTTCAAAGTTTTTTGGTTCTCACCTACCAGAAGAACTCTGTTGACAATCATGAATAGTATATGATTTAATATAGTATAAATATGTTTAATATAGTATAATATACTATGAATATAATGTAGGATAAATAATAGTATAAATAGTATTTGGCGGGGGTGGGGGTACTAAGTGTTGAACTCAGGGCTTCACAGTTCTTAGGCAGGTACTCTACTCCTTGAGCCACACTGAAAACCCTTTTTCAACTGGTTATTTTTTAGATAGGAGCTCACAATCTTCCCATTTGTGCTTCCCCACATAGCTGGAATGACAGGCATGTACCATTGAACCAGACATTGATTGAGATGGGATTTCATGAATATTTTGCTTCAGCTGGCCTCTAACCATGATCCTCTGGATCCCTGACTCCCAAATAACTAGGATTATAGGGATTAGCCACTAGAGTCAGTCTTTGATTGCTCAGATACACTACTTGTCAGCTTATATGTCAGAGTAGGAAGAAAACCTCAAATGCTGATAGAGTAAAAGCATCTTAACATGGCTCGTTTTCTGGATTGGCAGATCACAGTGGATGAGAAGGACATCAGAACCCTAAACATTACAGGTAACACATTGGCGTTGTCAGCCAAAAGACCTGTTTCGCTTGGGACCATTAGTAACAACATTAAGTACAGATGAGATGATGTGACTGATGAAGAAATTGAGAAGGCAGCCAAGGAAGCAAATGCTTATGACTTCATATTGGAGTTTCCAAATGTAAGTATGTGCGCTGCCCGTGCCTCAGCTTAGAGCTACTGAACTCCAGGATGCCAAAATAGGGCACTGAGACAAGAACTCCTAGAGCAGGGGAAGTTTGGTTAGTGGTGGGATTGTCCTAGATGAAACATCTAGAGAAGAGGTTGTGGTAACAGCCAAATGGAGAAATGCAGCATTGACATTTTAAGAGTATATTTAGTTCTTATTGGTTCTCACTGCAAATGGAAGAGAAAAAAATGAAGAAAAAAAAAGTTAAATTAAACAAATATGAGACAAAAAAACCATTAGCCCACACTGAGAAATGGTGTCTGCAAAATGTTGATTTGTGAGGCCATCTTGTGGCTAAGAGTAAAAATATCATGCACAATATTCAGACTGATTCTGAGAACATGCAGAGGGAGAATTGATCATTTTCAAATCACATGGAGTTAACATTGGATAGAAATGTACAATTACACTCCCAAAGAGATGTAACAGATTTGAAACACTTGACAATATGACACATCTGGTTTTCATGAGTATTAGGATTGATCAAGTTACAAAACCCATTTCCTAAAGTTTTAGTTCATCTAGACAAACTAAAATTGTTGTGGGGAGCACCCTGTGAGAGATTTTAAAAAGATACTTAAAATTAAAATATATATAAAATTTTTCATTCCAGAAGGTCTCAATAGCAAAAAAAGTTCATTTTGATGGACATATTTTACAAACCACACTCCATGGGTTGTAATAATTTTATTCTTTATTTTATTTTGATAAATCTTTTACTATGCTAGTAATTACCTCCCATCTATCATTTAAAGTCATGGTTCACATGGCTTTTTGGCAAAATCACTAGGTATTGTAGGTAATTCTTTGCCTCCTGGTTTGGGAAAATACTTCCTTTCTCTGACCTCTTACCCTTGTTAATGAGTTCCTTTCCTCAAAACACCACTGCTCTACAGGTTCCCACTTGAATTTAGAGCTTTTCAATGTCTCTTAAATCATACTTTTCAAGTTACTATTTTTTCTAAGTAGAAGACCATAGCTACACAAAGATATGCCTTTCTATAAATCTAACAATAAGTCCTAAAGCTAGATTGCAAAGAATAAATTGAAGATAATAAAAACTAAATTTTATAGGCATTGTTAACTAGAGAAATAAGAGAAGGCATGAAAACAATTAAAATTTACAGAAATATGTTAATTCAGGGAGGTAAAAAAATTAAGGAAATCTATCTCAAAACTGAATAGCATTTTATCTTCTATAATAAATACAAAGTTTAAAATTAATATATTAGGATTTGTTGGATACTGACCAGTATTTCATTCATAAACAGTCATAGGATTAGCTAGAGCATATGAGGTGTAGCACAATAGTTTTGAACATTTGACAACAGTTGGTGAAAGACCATGATTCCTGAAGGAAAGGAAACTGCATGAATTTGCAATACTCCACATGGGGGCAAATGTTTTACCTTGACTCTGATAGAACACAGCAGTCATACTGAGCTACAAAGCAGAGATAAAATTTAAGGGTAGTTTAGACAACTGGAAAGGTGATAAAAAGAACTATGGAACTAAGGTGGGGATGGAGCAGAAGTCCAGGTGGACATCCTTCAGGAATCCTTATCTGAGGGCGAGACCACCAAAGTTTACCAGAAAGCAAGGACTAACAAGCTAAGAGTAGAAGAGAGATACAGAGGTCATGCATGCTATGAGAGTCTATTAACACATTTTTAATGCCCCAAGCTTGTGGCTAAGAGACCAAATAAGACATACCTTACAAGTAAGGACCATACCTTATAGTAAAACCAACTCTAAAACCAAGCCATGACAAGACTCCCAAAGGAGAAAGAATTGGGGGGGGGGTTGTATCTGCCAAAATAGGAGGTTTTCTATAGATTCATCTCAATGAAATATAAAACTAAGATTCACAAGGTGAAGTTGACAGTCAGTATTTTAATTGCGTATGATAACAGTCTATATTTTTTCAGAAAAAACAGAATGCTGAGTCTCTCCAATGCATCACACACAGTTTTCAGTATGCAATTTACAAAAATGTGACATGCAAAGCAACAGGAAAATATGATCCATGGGCAAAAAAATCATAATCATAAATGTTTATTTACTTTTGAAAAGAGCTTCAAAATACATAAGATAAAAACAGAAACATCTTAAAGAAATAGAAAAATCTGCAATGTTAGTTGAAGCCTTTGATGCTTTTTTTTTTTAAGCCTTTGATGCTTAATCAAACAAGTTTGCAGAAAATAAGAAAGGATATGGGTGACATGAACACTGCTACCAACGATCTATAATTTACTTGTTTAGAGCATTCTGTCCAACAACAAAATACATTCCTCTCAACTGCACACAGAACATTCACTGAGATAAACAGTATTCTGGGCCATTAAAAAAAATAATGATTTCAAAAAGCATCCAAAATATTCTCAGATCATAATAGAATTAAAGAAGAAATGATCAATAAAAATATATTTGGAAGACAAAAACCACTTGATCATCTCAATAGATGCAGAACAAGCCTTCGATAAGACCCAACAGCACTTCATGATAAAAGCTCTTAAGAAAACTAGGAATAGAAGGAATGTTCCTCAACATTGTAAAGGCTATATATGACAAACCTACAGCCAACATCATACTTAATGGTGAAAAACTGAAACCATTTCCACTAAAATCAGGAATGAGACAAGGGTGCCCACTATCCCCACTCCTATTCAACATAGTACTGGAATTCCTAGCCAGAGCAAATAGACAAGAAGAAGAAATAAAAGGAATACAAATAGGTAAAGAAATAGTCAAAATATCCCTATTTGCAGATGACATGATCCTGTATCTTAAAGACCCAGAAAACTATACCCAAAACCTCCTAGACACCATAAACAGCTATAGCAAGGTGGCAGGATACAAAATCAACTTACAAAAATCATTAGCTTTTCTATACAACAACAATGAACAAATTGAGAAAGAATATATGGAAACATTTCCATTTACAATAGCCTCAAAAAGAAATCAAATACCTAGGAGTAAACTTAACAAAGGATGTGAGTGACTTCTACAAGGAGAACTACAAACCCCTGAAGAAAGAGATCGAGGAAGACTACAGAAGATGGAAAGATCTCCCGTGCTTATGGATTGGTAGAATCAACATAGTAAAAATGGCTATACTACCAAAAGCAATATACATGTTTAATGCAATTCCCATCAAAATCCCAATGACATTCACCACAGAGATTGAAAAATCTACCCCAAAGTTCATTTGGAAACACAAGAGACCGTGAATAGCCAAGGCAAATACTCAGCAAAAAGATCAATGCTGGAGGTATCACAATACCCGACTTCAAACTATATTACAAAGCAATAGCAATAAAAACAGCATGGTACTGGCACAAAGACAGACATGAAGACCAGTGGAACAGAATAGAGGACCCAGATATGAAGCCACACAGCTATGCCCACCTTATTTTTGACAAAGGTACCAAAAATATATAATGGAGTAAAGACAGCCTCTTCAATAAATGTTGCAGGGAAAAGTGGTTATCCATCTGCAAGAAACTGAAAACTAGATCCATGTCCATCACCGTGTACTAGTTATCAACTCAAAATGGATCAAGGACCTTAATATCAAACCCGAAACTCTGAAGTTAGTACAGGAAAGAGCAGGGAATACTCTGGAAGAAATAGGTATAGGCAAGGACTTCCTCAATAGAACCCCACCAGCTCAGCAACTAAGAGAATGAATGGACAAATAGGACTACATAGAATTAAAAAGCTTCTGCACAATAAAAGAAATGGTCTCTAAACTGAAGAGACCACCCACAGAGTGGGAGAAAATATTTGCCAGCTATACATCAAAGGACTGATAACCACAATATACAGGGAACTTAAAAAACTAAACTCTCCCAAAATCAATGAACCAATAAAGACATGGGAAACTGAACTAAACAGAACTTTCTCAAAAGAAGAAATTCAAATGGCCAAAAAACACATGGAAAAAATGCTCACCATCTCTAGCAATAAAGGCAATGCAAATCAAAACCACACTAAGATTCCACCTCACCCCTGTTAGAATAGCTATTATCAAAAACACCACCAACGACAGGTATTGACGAGGATGTGGGGGAAAAGGAGCTCTCCTACACTGCTGGTGGGAATGCAAACTAGTGCAAACACTCTGGAAAAAAATATGGAGGCTTCTTAAAAATCTAAACATAGATCTGCCATATGATCCAGCAATACCACTCCTGGGGATGTACCCAAAGGGATGCTACACAGGTTACTTCAGAGGCACCTGCACACCCATGTTTATTGCAGCACTATTCACAATAGCCAAGTTACGGAAACAGCCAAGATGCCCCACTACTGATGAATGGATTAAGAAAATGTGGTATTTATACACAGTGGAGTTTTACTCAGCCATGAAGAAGAATGAAATCTTATCATTGACAAGTAAATGGATGGAACTGGAGAACATCATCCTGAGCGAGGTTAGCCAGGCTCGGAAGACCAAAAATAGTATATTTTCCCTCATATGTGGACTTTAGATATAGGGCAAATACAGCAATGTTGTAGGACTTGGGTCACATGCTAAGGGGAGAGCACATACGGGAGGAATGGGGATAGGTAGAAAACCCAAAACTTGAAAATGTTTGATGTCCCCACTGCAGAGGAGCTAATACAGAAAACTTAAAGTGACAGATGTCAATATGGGAAGGTGACCGGGAAGTAGTGAAGAGGTCTGGTAGAGATGAATCAATTCAGGTTATAATATACTTGTGCATGAAAGCAATGCTAGGAATCTCTCTGTATAGCTGTCCTTATCTCAACTAGCAAAAACACTTTGTCTTTCTTATTATTGCTTATGTCTTCTCTTCAACAAAATTGGAGAAAAGGGCAGTACAGGTTCTGCCTTGAAACGAGGGGTGTTGGGGGGAAAGGGACAGGGCAGGAGGTAGGGGGGAGAAATGGCCCAAACAATGTATGCACATATGAATAAATGAATTTTAAAAAAGAAATACATTTGGAAAATAAACAAACATTTAAAAATTAAATTACACATTTTTGTGCTGGGGACTGAATCCAAGGCCTCATGTGTGAGACACAAGTATTCTACCAATATCCCTAGTCACTAAATAACACACCTCCAAATCAAACTATGGTTCACAATTCAGAATACAGTAAATATATACATGGAAATGTCATAGTGAAACTGTCTGTATAGCCATCTTAAACAAAAATGTCTTTTTTTCTTCAAAAACAGAGGACAGGAATGTACATCAAGTCCTGTCTTCAGGTCCTGTCTGGGTGTTGATACAGTGGGAGGGGGAGGATATAAGGAAAGGATGTATGAGGGTGAATTTGATGGAAATATTATGTACTCATGTATGAAAATGGAAAAATGAGACTTGTTGAAACTATTCCAGGAATGGGGGAGGAGGAATAAAGGAGAATGGTGGAGGGGTAAATTCTATCTACTAAGATAGATTGTAAGCACCTTTGTAAATACCATGATGTACTCCCAGTACAACAATAATATGATAATACAAAATTAAAATAAACTATGGCTCAAACAGAAAGCCTCAATAAAAATTAAAAATTTCATTTATTTGAAACTAAATGAAAATACAATGCATCATTTTTTGAATAATGCAGTTAAAGCACTGCTCTGAGAAAAACTCAAGAGTATTAAGTGCTTAGTTTTGGAAAAGAAAAAAATTCTACCATCTGCAAAAGAAGTTTCTATCTTGAAAAAGTAATGAAGAAATTAAACCAAAGCACACAGGAGGAGGTAAATAATAGAGCTTAGAGCTGAAATCAAAATCTGAAAAACATCACATCAATCATTGAAACCAAGATCTGGCTCTTTGAAAAGATAAAATAAATAGCAAGACTGATGGAGAGGAAAAAAGAGAAATGACCAATGTCAGGAATGAAAAAAGATGCCTGACTACTGATCCCAAAGTCTCTGAAGGGTTAATGTGCTCTGCCTATAAATTTAAGAATTCATAAGAAGGACAATTAATTGAATGACACAGACTGCCAAACTCAATCAAAGAAAAAGCAGATAACTTTAATGGGCATAAAACTATTTTAAAAATCAACTATCTCTCTAGATAGTAGCAACTGTTACAAATAAAATTAGCATCACAGTAGCATCAACAACCAAAACACTTAATAATAAATTTAATGAAATATTTCCAAGTATTTTATGCAAAAAGTATAAAACATTGCTGGAAAAGCTGGGCACCAGTGGCTCACATCTGTAATCCTAGCAGAGATCAGTAGGATTGTGGTTCAAAGCCAGCCTGGGAAAATAGTTCAAGAGACCCTAACTGAAAAAAAAAAAATCAAAACAAAGAGCTGGTGCAGTGGCTCAAGTGGTAGAATGACCGTGAAGCCCTGAGTTCAAACCCCAGAACCACCAAAAAAAAGAAAAAAAAAATTGCTAGAAAAAAAAAATGGAAGACCTAAATAGCATGTACTTTGTTTATTTAGAGATTCATTATTTTAAGGACATAGATCCTCCCTAAGTTGATCTAAAAATCTGATTCAGTACTAGTCAGGATTCCACCAACCTGTTTTGTGTGTGTAGAAACAGACATACTGAAAAGAAAATTTATTTTTAAATCAAAAGGTGAAGAGTGACCAAATCAGTTTTTTTCTTTCTCCTTTTATTTTATCGTTTTTATATTTACTTACATGTGTATGCATTGTTTGTGCCCTCTTCTTCTCTGATGCCAAAACAGTTTTGAAAGGACAATGCCATAACTAACTTCAAGTCAGCAATTAAGGCAGTAGCAGTGGCATAAAAATGGATGTATAGATCAGAACAGAAGGCTCAGAAACAGACACACACATATCTCATCAGTTAATTTTTGACAAGGCCAATGGAATTCAGTAGGGAGAAGGAAGATTTATTAACAAATGGTGCTGGAACGAGGGCTATCCATAAGAAAAAAATGAACTGTGACTTTTGCATCACACCATACACATAGGCCATAAGCCAAAATGTTAAAGCTTGAATTTTAAAAATAAAAACTTAAGAGAATACTTGGGAGGCTAACGCAAGAGGATCTCCAGTTAGAGGCCAGGTAGGACCACACTGCAAGGACCAGGACACTCTGAGGTACATATGAGACCTATCTCAAAAATACTAAGGGCTAAGCATTCAGCTCAGTGGCAGAGTGTTTTCTTAGTAAGCACAAGGCCCTCAATTTGATCCCTAACATTGTATAAAAAAGAAAGAGAGAAAAGAAAATAGCAAACTGGACTCAATCAAAATTTTAGCCTCCTTTTTAAAAACCACCATTCAGAAAACAAAAAAGTAAGTCATTAAGGGGAAGAAAATATTCATACTACACATATCAGACAAGAACATGAATCCCAAATATATAAAAACTGTTACAACTCAATAATAAGACATACAAAAAATAAAATAAGACAAATACTTGAACAACCAGTTCACAAATGAACAATCAAATGACCAGTACTCATGAAAAATATTCAACATGATTAGTTTACAGGGAAAAGCAAAGTAAAGCCATAATAAGACACTGTTTCACACTCATTAGAATGGCCAAAATTAAGACAACTAACAAAACCAACTTTTGGTGATAATGTTAAGCAATTAGAGCTGGTAAAAGTAGAATCAGTGTCATTTCAGAGAGCAATCTGAATTTTATTTAGAATGTTATTAGAATGTTAAACATACACTTATGACTCAGCATTCTATTCCTAGGTATTTTTTCCAAAAGAAATGAAAACATGACCACAAAGAGATCTTTTACTTGACTATTCATAGCAGTTTTGTTTATAATCATTAAAAGTTGGAAACAAGCAGCTGAATGACAGATTGTTGCCAGATGAAATGCAGGATTCCCAGTAAATATGAATTTCAAATAAAATGAATTATTTTATTCTCAGTATTTCCCAAATTTTGCAGGAAATATACTCTTACAAAAAATTTTTCATCATTTTTCTGAAATTCAAGTTTCAATGAGTTCTATGAGATATGGGTGTGTTTTTGTTTGGTTTTGCAAATCAAGCAACCCAAAGTAAATTCATACTGTGTGGGATACTACTCAACAGAAAATGAGAGCAAAATATCATAGCTATGATGAATTTCAAAAAGATTATGCTAGATTTTCCAAAAGCCAGCCCCCAAAAGTATATGCTGATTTCATTTATATAAAGTTCTAGGATCAGCAAAACTTGATTTGTAGTGATAAAAGTCAAATCATAGTATCCTGAGGCAGGATGTGCATATGGACTGAAGAACTTTCTAGGTCACAGCAACATTCTGTGTCTTTATTGGGGTCATGGTAACAGGGTGAACTCATTTGCCAAAAGTCTCGGAGCTATGTCCTTAAAACAGGTGCATGTGCATAAACTATTCTACAATAGCATTTGTATTTTTTTAAATATGAAAATCAGTCTCCAAAAATTATAGGTTTAGAAAGGATAAGCTAATATCCTTGAGGAAATGAACTTTGTTTTTTTTATTGTTGTACTGGAGGTGCATTGTGACATTTATTACAATGTATCATAGTTGAATTTGCCCCCTCCATCATTCTCCTTTAACTTTCACTCTCCCTCATTCCTGGAATAGTTTCAACAAGTCTCATTTTTCCATTTTCATTCATGAGTACATAATATTTCCACTACATTCACTCATCTACACCCTTTCCTCATATCTTCCCCCGCTCCCACTGGTACCAAACAATTCCCAGACAAGACCTGTTTTGCCTTCCTGTTTGAGATTTTTCTTGTTTGTATAAGATAGCTATACAGGGAGTTTCATTGTGACATTTCCATGTATATATGTATTATAACCCCAAATGGAAGAAATGAACTTTGAAATAGAAATATAACCCAGTAGAATTTTACTAGCACTGCTTCATTGGTGCTAGAAGTGACCCCATGATAAATATGTAATAATTTCTATTTTGTTAACCATGCACTTACCAAATAAAATTAAAAGACTCCCAAAACTGTAAAAAAGTTTTAGGAGGAGAATTTTTGTTTTGTTTTTTCAGCAAATTTGTTTTTCAAAATATTCAAGAAGGAAATTGTGAATAATATATCAAATTGCTTTTAAACATTTCAAATAAAACTTAACTATGTGTTTGTATTAGGTGATTATTTAAAGATTTCAAGGCATTCTAAAACTATCTAGAAATGATTTGAAAAAAGCTGCAATTATTAATTGTTCAAAAAATTCTTGTTTATCATATTTGATCCTAGCTAAATTTTTCTTGTCTACACTTTACTAGAAGCTTTTTTCATAGTTGTTTGTTTTTACAATGAACAAATCAAAGGTCAGAAGCAGCCAAGTTGAAGTAGTGATTAAACTAATATTAAAACGCAACTAGCCAGGCACAGGTGGCTCACACCTGATAGTCTAGCTACTCAGGAGGCAGAGATCAGGAGAATTATGGTTCAAAGCCCACGAGGGCAAATAGTTCATGAGACCCTGTCTTGAAAAATATCCATCACAAAAAAAGGGCTGGCTGAGTGGCTCAAGTGGTAGAGCACCTACCTAGCAAGCATGAGGTCATGAGTTTGAACCCCAGTACTGCCAAAAACACACACAACTGTCCCTGCCTTCTATTTCTGTGCTTTCCTCTTCTCCCCCTGTATTTCATTAGAAATTTAATGAAATTAAATTTTTCTCCTATGTTGGTAGGAGAAAAAGGAGCTCAAATGAGTGGAGGGCAGAAGCAGAGGATTGCGCTTGCTTGAGTATTGGTTTGAAACCCTAAAATTCTGATCTTAGATGAGACCACATCTTCTCTAGACACAGAAAGTGAGTCACTTGTTCAAGCTGCACTGGAGAAGGTAAGTGAGCAGAGCATTTCTTATTTCCATGTTCCTGGCTCACTGTCATTTTTAAGTTCAAGAAAGTACCAATCTGTTGTGGATTATGAAGTTCTGAGCTCTCCTTAAAGCTGTAGATACAGGGTGTGATTGACAGGAAGGAAATAAATGCTATAATTACTGAGATATCTACATAATATGTATGTAGTATATATCTTTTCATATATGTTTATACTCACACACACACACACACACACACACACACACACGGCTGATATGCAGACAATCCTCACATATCCATACAACAGTCCATATTTCCCACTTGCCCATAGCAAAAGCAACACCACCATCTCAACTATAACCATTGCATCATTTGCTTTTCCCACCGACACTAGTGGGATTCTCTTCCCTGACCACATTTCTTCTTTAGGGATGCTCTGGGTATTCATGATAACACAGCTCCACCTCAAGTAGAAAAGCACTGGCCTTGAACTGCCCTCCTCCAATAGTTCTGGCCCCTCAGTCCTGGCACTGACCTCCTGCTTACCACTGCACTTGGATCAGAGCCTCAGTGCAGCCATGGTCCTGCACCAAATTCCTCTGCATCTGCAGGCCAGTTGAAAAGAACCTTGAATATATTTCTCAGTGGCCAAATGCTCTTTAAAATCATGGCGGTCAGGTGCCTCAGAAGGCTGATGGCACATTCTACTTTGTGTTTGCTAGGAAATGTATTAAGTGTGTTTCTTGCTAAGAAGATTGCAGGCTTCTCTTTCAATGCTGATTTTATGGGACCAGAAAGAAATACTGGCAGCCACAGTGCCCACTGTTTTGAAAAAGCTATGAATCACTACTTTTTTCTCATAAATCTGATTGTATAAGGTTTTACACTTATTTCCTTCCCATGATGAGAGTCTCACCTGTCATCTGTATCATGAAAATTCCTGTTTGTGTGGAAACTTTGACAATTGGTTCATCTTGGTAGAGAAGATACAGGATCAGGGCTAACGTTTTATTCATTTATTTCTACTTAGTAACTAGGACAGTTTTCAATCTAGAATATACTCAATAAATTCTCTTTACTAATGGTGATGTTTGGTTATTTTGGACTATCATGTACTCCTAAGAAATGATTACACTTAATATACCTGTCTATTAAGTAGTTATATAAGTTTTGTTTAGGGGTTTTTTTGTTGTTGTTTTTTGTGTTTTTTGTATTTTTTTTTTCCTTTTGGTAGTACTGGTGTTTGAACTCAGGGCTACACACTTGCTAGGTAAGTGCTTTACAACTTGAGCCATGCAGCAAGCCCGTTTTGCTCTGATTTTGGAGCGAGGGTCTTGCTTTCTGGCCCAGGATGGTCTGGACCTCAATCCTCCTATTTTAGGCTTCCTGTCATAATTGGAATGACAGGTGCTCAGCTCTTTTTCAGTTGAGATGGGGTCTCACAAACTTTTTTGCCCAGGTTGGCATGGAACTATGATCCTCCCTATCTCACCCTCCCATGGAGCCATGATTACAGGTATAAGCCACTGGTGCCTGGCATAGTTACATAAGTTTTTTTTTTTAAATGAAATAAGTGTTTGTTATAAAATAAAATATTTTTTATAAAATAAAATAAAATGTAATAAGGTTGTTTGGAGGTTAAATTTTGTGCCCATTGTCTTTCCATCCAATATTTTAATCACTTTGGGCAATTGAAACTAGTTCAAAGTTTTTAAATAAATAGTTGCTTGGCAACATAATAAACTAATAAATATTCCTTTCTACTAATTAAAATGACTCATTTTAACTCATACATAAAAACAGAAGAATGCAAAATGTTTATAGGTAATTATTCCAATTACATGAAACAGGTGTACCTGTAAACAAAAATGGCAGAAACCTATATGAAAATGTAGTCATGCTTCGTGATGGGGATAGGTACATTCTCTTAGGTGATTTCATCCTGTGGAACATCACCAGTGTGGTGATGAAATGGCCTATTACACACCAGGCTGTCTGGCACAGCCTGTTGCCCGAGCAAGTTATTATACTGAACAATGAGTCCACTGTAACACAATCGGTATCTGAACATATGCACACAATAAAAGTATGACATAAAAGCTAAAAATGGAACACCTGAATAGGGCACTCACTGTGAACCGGCCACAGGACAGGAATTTGCTGTGTGAATCAGTGAATGGAAGGTGGATGATGAAGGCCCAGGAATTTCTCTTCACTACTGTAGACTTTATAAGCACTGTATACTTAGGCTACACTAAATTTTTGATTAAATTAACCTTGGCTTATTATAACTCTTTTACTTCATAAACTTCAATTTTTTTTCAACTTTGATACTTTTGTAAGTGTATGCATCTTCAAACACAAACATTTTATAGCTATAGAAAAATATTTTTAATATCCTTCTCCAATAAGCTCTGTTCTATTTTTAAAATGTTATTTTTACTTTTTAAACTTTTTGTTTAAAAAATTAGACAAAAATACATTAATCTAGGCCTGCACAGGGCCAGGCCCATTATGGTCACTCTTCCCCACCTCCGAATCTTGTCCCACTGGGGCTGTAACACATATGGATCCTTCTTATAGGATAACTTCCAGAAGACCTACCTGAGGCTGTTCTTACTTTTTAAATACATAATTAGTAGTCGTACACTCTAATGATAAAAAGTAGAGTTTGGTAAATATATACCAAATCACTTATTTATTATCATTATCAAGAATTATGTATCGTACATAATTATTAGAGCTATGCCTTTATACAACGAGCATTACACTAGATTTGCTTACACCAGCATCTCCAAGGACACATGAGTGATTTTTTTTATACTATGACATTATGATGGCTACAACATCACCAGGCAATAGGAAATTTTTCATCTCTATTTCAGCCTGTTGGTTATAATCATCACATATGTGGCCTCTTGTTGATCAAAACTTCGTTGTGGCACATGACTGTAATAGCAGTTGTGTGGCAAAATAATGGGAGAATTTCCCCTAAAATTCATTTACTGTAAGTATTATTTTTCAGATTTTCAAAGGGGAGGAGATTGAATCAATGTTGTCATGACACACATATATAAAACTGCTTTGTGTAGGGCTTTCTGGTCTTTTGTGGGGTGGGAATAAAACAGAAGCAGTAGGATGAAAAAGTCGCATAGCAGACTGGATTCGTTATATCCTCTTCAGTTTACTGGGAAAGGGCTCATAGCAAAGGGGAGAATTCAGGTCCAGGCAAGGTGATGAGTGCGTCCTCCTTGGCCCCTCCACAGACAGTGGTTATAGAATCAGACATTTGGAGAGCTCTCTACCTCAGTGGGTCTCATTTCTGCTCACCTGTCTTAAGAGTCCCCAGATTCTGTGACACACTATAGCCTAACCCACATCAGTGAGCAGATTTTTATAGCTCCAAATGCTATGCAAGCTACTAAAGGCATAATGAAATGCATCCTTTTTCCCTGGAGAATGCTGCATTAGCCTCCCTCCACACCCGGCCTTCACATATGCCTCCCATCCCTCTTCCTCATTACCCCATTATCTTCCAGTTATAGAAAGTCCTAGAACCAATGAAACTGATCAATATCCATTAAAAAAAAAAAAGTCAAAATAGTAGTTTCCTAAAAAGCAGTGGTGGGTTTTGACTGCAAAAAACCAGCATGAAGGAACAATCACTCTTGTCCTGACTTGGATTATTATAATAGCTACTCCCACTTCAGACCTCATTCCCTTCAGCCTCTTCTGTGCACAGCAGCCTTACATTGCTATTAAAGTGTAAATGTGGTGTTGTCACACTTCTCCAATTCTCTAATCCCTCCTCATTTCATGTTAAGTAAAAGCCAAATTACTTGCAGTGAACAAGGATCTGTGGAACTGGGCTCCGGCTGGGACCTCATTTCTCTCCACTGTCCTGCACATTGGTTCTCTTTAAACACTCCATGGCACTTTTCCTGGGCTAACACACTGCCATGTGTTTATTTTGTTATTGTCTCTCTTCCCCAACTGGAATGTAAATTCTCCGGAGGTTTTGATTGGTTAACTCCAGCACCCGCACCCCACTCCACCAGCAATGTCTAGCTCTTCACAGACAGCCAAGAAATATTTGTTGAGTGGAATTGGGATAAATGTGGTGCAGGATGGTTCCAAGACCTGACGTGCTCTCATCTGTATTTCTTGATTTATAATTATTACAAGCTACTCTTGCATCATCAATCATTCAAGAAAAACATCTAGAAACATCTAGGATCATCTTGGATGATGGTTTACCCCACAAGGCATGAGCTCTCCCTCTGCTATGGGTTTGTACTTAGCATGCCAAAGCAGTGAAGTCCAAGCTGTCCACGGCAGGAGAGACAGCAGTGAGCACATGCAGACCTTTGGGGAAGCCATATTGATTCGGTGATAGAGCCTGTGAAAACTCTTTGAAATTTTAAAAATTGTAGACAAATCTAAGAAATGATTATTATTGAGGGAGTTTCAGTCACACACACCAGTGAAGACCCTTTAAAAAAGCCCTTTGCTAAGGAGGAGGGAAGAGATTCCATAAGTTTTATCCTTTGAAGAAACAGTTGAACATTTCTTTGCCCTTGCTGTACTTTCTTGGTGTGATGTACCCTCTTGGTCTTCCTCGGGGATCCCTTTTGTTATATTTATACTACTTAGAGAACTGAACAATAAGAAAATTTCATTAGGCTCTGGGCTATTTTATTAAGTTAAGCCCTAAGAAGTAGTTATACAAAGTTAGGACACACACACACACATTTTAATGTGCCTTGTCAGTATCAGTTAAATGTCTTACTCTGTACTTTGATATGGAATTGGGAAATTTAAAAATTTTTTTTAATTATTTGTAGCAACACTATGGTAGCTGGGAACAGAAAGGGGATTTCTGCAAGGGGATTTCCTTGGCTGGAATTTGGCTAGGGGAGCAAAGGTAAAACAAACTGCCTCATGCTAAAAACATCATGGGCATTTTGTAAGCCTCCTAGATCAAGCTCACATTTGTGAGGCATGATGTTAAATTCTAAGT